CAACCACAACAACCCCTCGCCGCCATCTCGACCACCAGAGCCCGCCGGCTGGACCACCACAGCCCGCTGCCGCCGCCTCCTCCTCCACAGCCCCGCCACCATCCCGACCACCACAGCCCGCCGCCTAGACCACCACAATCGCCGATGCCGACTCAACCACCATAGCCCCCGCCGCCGCCATCTCAACCACCACAACCCGCCGCCGCCGCCTCCTCCTCCACCACAGCCCCCGCCGCCTCCCTTTCCACCACAACCCTTGGCTCGGCTACTACTGAATTAATTAGCAAGAAAGGTGTATGGGGATGGAGAGGTGAGAGAGAGCGAGAAAAAAAAACGGAATTGAAAAACGATCCGCAGATCGTGTGAGAGATGGGGGAAGAGAGAGAACGTGAGAGAAAAAATAAATTTGAATTGGAGAAACGTGAATATATGTATGTTATATAATTTAGGGTATAAGGGCAATATAGGGATATAAAAAAAAATAGGGATGTGGCCCATATATTATTTGAAATTAAGGATTTAATTAAAAAAATGAATTTGAACTAGTCATTTAGTTCAAATTCGGTTTCGTTTGAGGGGCTTATAGCATATTAACCCTTAAAAAAATAAGAATAGAAAAAAAAACTGTCACATATTAAAGGAAAAACTACCTCAATTCCTTCCAGACACACGATTATATTCTTCAAATATAAATAAAGATTTGATTGTTAATCGTCGTAAAATTTTTACACCTTCTCTCGAGAGAGAGTTTGTTAATCTGATAATTCACTGGTGTATTTTTGTTTGCTCAATTAGAATGAATTGTGTTTTCGTTATATTTAAATGACGAAATTCTGATCCGAGACAAACTAGGTTTTTGTTTCCCCCTTTAATTTTTATGCAGTTGAACTCTGGGAAAGTGGTTGCCTTTGTTCTTGAATTGCCGGACAATTTCAGGAATTGTATCTCAATTGTCGTTATCGAAGGAGAAAGTTTTCTCTTGCATGAATATGGTGGAAACATAGAGTCAATCCTACTGATAAACATTATTAACTGTAAGATACGTTACACTATATTATTGACTTCTTCCACGGGTTTTCATGCGAATAATGAGCGCCATCTTTCTCAACTAAAGGTCGGTTTCCTTGGATTTTTTTTGAGTTGCTAATAATTTTACGATTTCTTTACCCTAACTGAATTCCTCGGTGGGGAGTCGTCTGAAATTTCTGTCGTTTCTGAGTTGCGTATTGACAGTTGGCCTTTTGAGAGTTTCTAAGTATTTTAATTTTTTCGCAGTTTGTTCAGCCCTTTGTAAATGAATCTATGTTTTTACTTGATTAATAAGTGAAACAGAGAAAATAAAGGAAGCATGGTAGTTTTTTCATTTGCTTCTGTTTTTGTGGTGTAGGAATTTTTGTGATTGTAGTAGCTATTTTTTTTTTTAAATATTGTCCTTCTCATTATCGCGTCATGATCGTTTATGTTGTAGTTTCACTATTTTTTCTCATGAAATTGCTTTGTGAATTCAATTCTTTTATCGCGGATTTCAGATTTATGCAGCATGTGGTTGGTGGTGTTGGAGTCGTTAGAATTCTAGCTAATTTACCATCATTTGATCCCTTATGTTTGTATAATGTCAAAAGATCTTGAACACCTAAGGTTTTTTCTGCCAATGATGACGACAAAAGGAAAAAAAGCAAGTGTGAAAGAGCAGATTAAAAATCGTTTGCAGATAACATGGATTCACATCCTTCGCCTTCTTCCACTCCAAGAAAAGTCCATAGGATTTTGTTTTCTCTCATTTTACTTTAATTCTTTATTAAAAACGATATATATTCCATTTATTTTTCTTGATTTTTTCATATATTGTCTTTCTCTTGCTCCAAAAGAATCCGAGAAAGATTTAAATCATTTGGGTCACATTTGTCCGTATAAAATGGCAGTATTTCTTCTTAAATTCTTTGCCCGGTTTTTTCTAGATTCCCGTTAACAGAAATAAAACTTCCCATGATTGTAGTAATTTTTCTCACGATCTACTGTCTCGTTGTATTCCCACCAGTATTTTGTTGAACCGCTATTTTTTTCGTTTATAAATATTTGTTTCCTCGTCAAACAATATAAGTCGCCATGGTTTGGATTTGTTTGATGCTGCTCTTCCATAGCAATATAACATCATTCTGTAGCAGTATAATCTAGGGATGGCAAAAAAACCCGAACCGCTAGCTATCCGCGGGTATCCGCTCCGTTTAAAATCCGTTACCGAAACCATTAGGGTTTGGTAATGGTTTTGGTATGGTTCTGGTTTTACCTTGACGGTCATGGGTACCCGACCATTTAATATATATATATATATATATATATTCAACAAAATATGAATAAAAAATATATTTTGGCAAAATTTTCAATAAAGTATTAAATAATTTAGGGAGGATATATTTTTTTCTCTTTTCTTTTTTTCTTTCTCTTTTCTGAGAGTTACTTATACGTTATCGGACCCAAAGTAATTTTTTATTACCGTAATTTAAATGGTAAATGGGTACCCGTGGGTACCCGGATATTCGCGGTAATGGTTCTGGTTTTTCCATGAACTTTTTAAATGGGTTTGGTATGGTCATGGTTTGAGCTATATTAAATGGTAATGGTTCTGGTATTGCACTTTTTCGAGGGTACCCGCTCCGCTGCCATCCCTAGTATAATCCACAATTGTCTCCATGTTAAGGAGGAGTGTGCCATCAAAGACCAATCATTGCTTATGGTATTTTTTTTAGAATTATTGATTACTTTTGGTATATTGTAGGATGTAATTTTATATGATTGGTTGATTGTTTGTTGTAGTCGTGCCATTTGTTTTTAGTTTTTGTAAATTTACTTATGAGGTATATCTTTTGTGAGGATTTCTTTGATTAAATTTATAATTTCTAGACAACTCAGTGGATCTCGATCTTGGTTCGCCTTCAAGCTGCTCACGAAATTATGGATCTCGATCTTGGTTCGCCTTCAAGCTGCTCACGAAATTATTTGTTACAACAACAACAACAACAACGACAGCAACAACGACGACGACGACGACAACAACAACCACCACCACAACAACAGATATACCTACAAAGGAACATAAAACTATTTCATTTATTCCCTCGTCAACAAAGATATATTTTTATGGGTGATCAATATATATATTTTTCAAGTCAATCATTGCTGAGAAAACTGGTAAATTGAGCTTTCAAAAGATTCCAGACTTGTGCAAATAAAAAATTCCATGTGCTGCATGCAAATTCATCACTCTCAAACCTGCAGATTCATTTCCCATTCCTTAAAAATAAAAATATTTACAACAAAAATAAATTTCTCAAATAATTGTTTTTTTATTATTAAAATAAAAATTAAAAAAAAAAAAAAAAAAAAAAAGTGAAATTTATGTTTGCTGCATTTGCTCTCTCAAATCTCGGAGGGGCCCACCGTAGCCTTTTTCCTGAACCTTCTTCTTCCCGCAGATACACTTACTAATGTTGAGATTAGCGCCGCAATCGAGGCATAATCCTCTGCAATTAGGACCACACACAGCTGTAATGGTGATCTCCACATGTATAAGGTCTCTTATATTCTTCGAAATATCGACCACTTTTTCGTCTGGAGGAAAATATAACTGATCGTCTAAATCGATTAAGCTATCATCACTGTCTTCTGCTTCGACGGTTTTTAATTTCTCGTCTCCAAAAATTGTACCCAAGTTTATGGTTTCGGATTCTTGGAGGGGTTCTTCACACAGTAAAAGTGAGAAATCGGAGTAGATACTCTGCGCAGCTGGTTCGCCACACCTTCACAAATTGGTAAATTAAGATAAATTACTTACTTAAACAAATACTCGAGTTACACAAATAAAAGAACAGTCAAGCATTTTGGCTAATTAATCGTCTCGCATGTTGCACGATAAGCAGAACGAGTATTCTAATCGAAAGAAAATAAATTAAAATTTTTATTTAAAATTTTTGAAGTTTTCTTTATTTAGGCCCAAATCCATCTACATGCAGATTTCTCATCGGAACGACTATTTGTATACACTCAGGCCCAAATATCAATCCGATTTTTTTCTCCTCCCAATAATAATGGGATCCAATGCAAAACAAATACCATCCCATCTTTTTCGATTTAAATAAAATTTGCGACATATAACATTGAATGATTCCGATGTGACATCGTTAACAAGCCAAAAACTTATAAGGCCCAAAAAGCACACAAAAAAAACGATACCTTCACTTCCGATTCTTATCAAATGCTAACCAAACAAATATACAATGATTACTTTTATATCTTTTCGATTAAACAATTTATACTCTTAAGTGGCTGGTTCGATTCTAGATTATCGATCAATGGCAAATAACTGCGAGCAAGTTAACTATACTACGTACTCTATACGTGAAATAAATTACATTAATCCAAGTATTCATTTGCGTTATTAGATCTACGTAAGATAATTTCTCGAAGTTCGGTTGAAACCTAAAAAAAATCTCTTAGCTTTTTCAAATGCACTAGTTTTCAATTGTCCGCCGTCGTAACTTTCGAAGATCATCGTAATTGTAATAGCATATGATTGAATACAGCAATCAAACATCCACAAGAACTAAATATATAAGCAAAAAAAAAACAATGTAAATATATCACAAGCACAATTAAATCAATGCTGCACAAAAAAAAGAAGAAAAAAAAAAAAAAGGAAATACCTGTTGCAATTAAGAGAAATGACAGTTCGAACAATTCCGTCGAGCCTCAATTTCTGCTTCCTCCGAGTAACATCTGCGGAAATCAACACCGGAGTTCCGTCGGGAAAATCCTTCACGGATTTCACCACGCGCAACCCCATCTCCGAAGCCCGGTTCTTCGAGAATTCCGAGGATACCTTTCCTAACCCTAGCCTCTCGAGAGTAGTGCAGTACTCCAAATGCGAAACGGCGGCGTTTCGCCTGTACAAAATCGCGCCTTCCCAGGGGCTGCCCTCGTCTTCATCTCCATCTTCTTCTCCGATTACTTCGTCCGGAAATTCCCAATCGCTGTCGGAGGGTTTCTCGGAATGGGTGGTTAATTGGGAACTGCTGCTGCTGCTGCGGGTTTTTGTTAGGGTTAAATTTGATAAGGTGGATGGTTTTTTTAGGATTCTGTTTGTTGGGTGGTTCAATTTGAAGGGATTTTGGAGGTATGTAGATCTTACGGAGGTGAATTGGAGGAGAGGGGAAGAGGGCACGGCGGTGGTGGAGGCGGCGGCGATTGGGCGGAGCATTTTCAGCTACACTGGGGTTTAAGAAATGGTTTCTCTGTTGTCGAAGGATTTTAGTTTTGATTATCCGAGAAACTATTTTTATATTATAGCAAAAATAAAAATAAATTATTTTATAATTTCGTATAAGTAAATTATAATATATTTTACTCCCACCTATTTACAACCTTCGTTATATATATTGTCGTAAACTTAGTAAATATAAATTATTTATTAGAATTTGTAGTTGATTAAATGTAATTTGTAGTTGATTTAGTATAATTTATAGTTGATTGTTACAATTTATAGTTATATACGATTTAGTCATCTGTCGAATAAAAAATACATAAAAACAATTAAAATAATAATTAAAATGAATTTATTGAAAAACATTGTAGTTGATTATTGTAATTTGTAGCTAATACTATAGCCAAAAAAAATATTAGAAAAGGGCAAATTACGCCCAGTCTCCTGAGATAAAGTTAAATTGCGAAAACCTCCTATTTTTTGAGTAATCATAACTACTCCTTTAACCACGTATTTTGTTACAAAAAAAATTCTCATTCAGTTGATAAATTTGATATTGTAAGGGTGCATATGTAAGAATACATAATTGAGGAAGGTGATTATAATTACCCAAACAAAAGAGGTTTCTCGTAATTTAACCTTATCTTAGGGGATTGGCCGTAATTTGCCCTGAAAAAAAGAATTTATAAAAATATAAATAAAAACTAGCGTAACCATAAACCACGAGGGATTATGTTAGTCTGAGTTTGACAGCCAACGTGGTGGAGGCTCGGGTATGGGCCGCCCACAATTGAATATCGTGAGCGCTTGTGTGTGTTGAATGCACTATAAGACTATAATTTGCACATCTCCTAACACCAATTAATTTTAGTACAACTGATAGCGCCTGAGGTACTACAAATTATATGTTGATAACGATTACGAGGAGGTCATCAGGAAAAAAAAAAAAAAAAAAAAAAAACTTGTAAGAGCAACTCCAATGGAGTTATTAAATGGGGTATCAAAACTCTTAACTACCATTTTGATAATTGAAGTTAGAAATTTTCCACTCCAGTGGAGTTATCAAATAAGTTTCTATTTTGATGTTTTAATTTTTGGGATGTAAAAATACATCCCCAAGAAATAATACCAATTGGAAGTTACATAACTTAACCACCATAATAACCAATTAGAATATGACATGTGTTAATTAAAATACATAATCACATTATTTAGTTTTAATTAACAACTATTTGATAACTATGGTTGGAGCAAATAAATTTATTTAGGTGTCAAACTAAAATATAAAATATCAAATAAATATTTGATAATTTATTTTGATATTTATGGGTTGGAGTTGCTCTAACAGGAGTATGGGTACCCTTTTAGATTTTGAGTTTTGAAAATTTCTCAAAAAAAAATTGATTTTTTTTTTTTGAATTATATGGTATTGTCTATTGTCAAATATAATAATAATAATAATAATAATAATAATAATAATAATAATAATAATAATAATAATAATAATAATAATAATAATAATAATAATAATAATAATAATAATAATAATAATAATAATAATAATAATAAAATTATTGTAATTCATTCAGAAGAAATTAAGTGTTTAATCTTGATTAGAATAGATTAATGAGAATGGGAGAAATCATGATTGGCTTAACTCTTAAGCATGAGAATACAGAGTCCAACCATAAAAGGGTGGTGGCGAGGCGGCGACTCTTCTCTGCTCGACACCAAACACAGAGACGTGGCCAACTCCAAAACTCCGTCGCTAACCAGACAATTTCAACCGACAATCTAGCAATCGACGAACGCCTCAATATATATATAGAATAAACCCCCCTTCGTGGTTTGAAAAGGTTTTCTTTTTGTTCGGCGAAGAAGAAGAAGAAAAAATAAATCATGAAACCCCTGTTTTTTCTGCTATTTTTAGCTTTCGTATTATCTTCTTCTTCTTCTTCTTCGCAAGCGAGATCTGTAATCCCGCGCCGCCCTCAGCCGCTATCGTCGATCAAAATCAACACGACACTGGTACGAATGATGAATTTGTGTTTTGGGCGTGTCGATGATTTTTAATTTGTTGGAATATTGTGTAATTTGTTTTAACCTAATTTGGATTTTAAAAAAAAAAAATCGTGTGCAGAATCAGGGAACATGTTCTTTTAGTGTAAGCGTAAGGACCAGCTGCTCGTCCATTCGATACACACGAGATCGTATTAGTCTCTCCTTTGGCGATGCCTATGGGAATCAGGTTCCATTTTCTTCTTCAATTTTTTTTTACAAATTTATTGCATTTTAGGTTTTTTTTTTTTTTTTTTTTTTAATTGCGGATATATTCAATTTGTAATTGCTGGATTAATATTTGCAAGATAATCTCTGGGGGTATTTTGAAATTTGAACTTGATCCTTGGATTTTAGCTGATCACAGTATCAAAGACTCGATTTTTATGACTCTTTTATGTGCAAGAAGTGGATGAACTTGTGTATAGTAGTTGCGACTGGATATAAACCGATGCGTTGTGTAATTTATCTTATAGTTGAATCTCATTTGCTAAAATATGAGTTTCTTTCCAATTGACGAATGTGTGTGAGCAAGAATCTATACCGATTTTATTACGTAGAAAGTGAGTTTCTAGTGTACGTAAACTTGATTCTTTTTGCTTGTCACAACATCTTGTCGAACTCGATTTAATTATGTCTCTTTTATATAGAAAGAAATGGATAAACTTGCCGATAGTAGTTTCAGTATATTTGTTGTAGATTTTAACTAGGAAAATAATGGAATTTATGGAAATAGTTTCGAAAACTGCCCACGAAACTTTAGATATATTAGTAACACGGCCACGGCAACAATGTTAACGGTTTTTGACTCGACTTGACTTTCACCACTTAGTTTTTGACTCTCAATTTTCAAATTTATTTACAGGTTTACGCACCAAGACTGGATAGTCCTGGTTCGAAGACATTCGAGCAATGTTCAACCGATACGTTTCAAATATCCGGACCATGCACTTACCAGATATGTTACTTGTACCTCTACAGAACCGGGAACGATGGGTGGCTCCCGTACGATGTAACTGTCTCTGGATATAACACAAAGGCCGTCACATTTTACTACAATGTACTTATTCCTAAAGATATTTGGTACGGATTTAATTACTGTTATGGCACCAGAGCTGCTTCATCAGCAATGAAGTAGTAACTCCCAATTTCCTCGTGTGTTTATTTTGTGTTTGGCTGAAAGACAGAACCCCTCGTATCAAATTTTACCGATTTAATGTTATGTTTCGTGTTTTTTTGGGGCTTGTGTTATCCACTTGTAAGTGTCAAAATTCGGATTCTTGATTTGTTAACTGCTGGAAATTTAACTTTGTTGCTGCAATTTCTAGCTATAGAATTTAGATGACTTGAAGCAAATTTACAGTTTGGAAAGATCTTATGAAGAGATTCTCTATTATTAGTATTCGTTGTGTATCGCAACGAAGTAACTCGAGATTTCTTCTCTTGTTTATTTTGTATTCGACTGAAAAACACAACTCTCGTATCGAATTTTACTTGAAGAAAATTTACAGGTAATGATAGCAATTTACAGAGAGATTCTCTATTATTAGTACTCAATAATAATATGGACCAACTTTTGTAGAGAAGCTCAAGAAAGACTGCCCATGGCCTTTGCCTTCTCCCTGAGGATAAACTTCTGAATCTTACCAGTCGAGGTTTTCGGTATATCCTCAAAAACAACAGTCCTAGGTGCCATGTAATGAGGCAATCTATCCCGACAAAAGTCGATTATCTCTTTAGAACTAACCTCTAATCCTTCCTTAATCTTGACAAAGGCACACACCGTCTGCCCCCAGTGATCATCTGGTCTGGCCACAACGGAAGCTTCTAGAACCGCCGGATGACGGTACAACACCGTCTCCACTTCCACCGTACTTACATTTTCTCCACCGGATATCACAATGTCTTTCAATCGGTCTTTCAACTCTAGGTACCCATCTTCGTGTTTCACCGCAAGATCGCCGCTTCTGAACCACCCACCGGAAAATGCTTCTTCCGTTGCCTTTGCATCTTTCAAGTACCCACTCATTACCGTGTTCCCCCTAAACATAATTTCACCCATAGTCACACCATCGTTCGGCACACTCTTCATCGTTTTAGAGTCTCGTACATCCACTTCCTCCAAACCGTAATGCTCGACTCCTTGTCTGGCTTTAAGCTTAAACCGTTCTTCGAGGGGCAAAGAATCCCATTCTGGTTTCCACACGCACGATGTGGCGGGCCCGTATGTCTCTGTGAGCCCGTAGAGATGAGACACATTGAATCCGAGCTCCTCGATCTTGGAAAGGATGGAAGGTGGTGGTGGTGCGCCACCTGTCATTATTTCAACTTTATGTGGGAGAGGTTTCCGGTGGGTGGAATTTACGATCATGTTCAAGACTGTGGGGGCCCCGCCCATGTGGGTGACATGGTGGAGGGCGATGGCAGCGAAGATTTGCTCCGGCAAGACTTGCCGGAGGCAGACATTTGTGCCGCCTAGGGCCGCCAGGCCCCAAATTAAGCACCACCCGTTGCAGTGGAACATGGGGACCGTCCATAGGTAGACGGGGTTTGAGGCCATTCCGTGGATCGATGACGTGGCGAGGGCGTTGAGGTATGCTCCTCTATGGCTGTAGACCACGCCTTTAGGGCGGGAGGTCGTTCCCGAAGTGTAGTTGATGCTGATAGGGTCGTATTCGGTTTTCGGTGGCATAGGGGCGTATTCGTCTTTTCCACCAGCGAGGAGGGTTTCGTATTCGTACTCCTGCGAATCGGGTGTCGATTGAGTGGTGCTGTGTTCGGGAATTAGGACAAGAATTGGCGGTTGAAGTTTGTTTTGTACGAGGAGAGCGAATGCTTGTCGAGCTATGTCGATGAATTGGTGATCGACGAAGATGATTTTGGCTTCGGAGTGTTGGATGAGGATCGAGAGCATAGACGGATCGTGGCGCGTGTTCAACGTGCAGATAATTCCTCCGGCCATCGGAACTGCGAAATGGAGTTCCTGCATAGCCGGTATATTTGGGGCTAGTGTTGCCACCTGTACATCGGAAAAAAAATTAAAAAATCGAAAATTCAGTAAGAAAAAAAATTAGAAATGGCGAAGAATTAGGGATTTTGAATAATACCACGTGGCCATGAGAAATCCCTAACTGAGTCAACGCGGAAGCGAGCTTGAGGCATCGAGAGAGAGTTTGTGACCAGGTGAATCTGAGAGTGCCGTAGATTACTGAAGTTCTGTCTCTGTAAATTTTGGCAGCTCTGTGAAGAAAGGTTATGGGGGTTAAGGCGGCGTAATTTGCAGAGCATCTGACCAGACCCTCCACCATTGATGGAGCTTCGAGATTTTCATGTGATGATGATGAATTGCAGAGATGGCGGGAATTTTGTGGAGGGGCCGCTTTCTTGTGGAAGAACCACCTGGTGGTTAGTGAGCTGCTCCGCCGGAGAAAGTGGTTCATGGTGGTGGTGGTGGAGGTGGTTTTTGTCAGGATCAGATCATTTGTTTTTTTTTATATAGTAGGGAAAAAGACAAAAGGTTTTGATAAAATTTATGCATGATAAAAAATGCGAGTCACATGAACAAATAATAAGTCTATTTGCATCCGCTTCCCCTCAACTATGTGTATTTGACAAATAGACCCTCAAATATTTAAAAGTTTGTCATCCACATCCCTAAACTATAATAATTTGGCAAGAAAAAGAAATAGAGATGTAAGGAAATTTCATGTTTGGATATTAATTTTACAAAATATCCATCTCTGGTATTATTATTTCCCTTGAACATAATCTCACCCACCGGCACACCATCGCTCGGTACGCTCTTCATCTGTCTCACATACAGTCCGCATCAACTTCCTCCAAACAAGAATCCGATTCGGGTTTTCTTGGAGACAAACGGAACCCGAGCTCCTCGATCTTGGAGACGATTGGCGGCTGCAGCGGTAGTATTCCGTCGGCCATTATCTCAACCACCGTGCTAGGCGGCTCATTTCGATCCCGATAGGTCGAATTTACCTTTCGATCCCGATCGGTCGAATTTACAATCATGTTCAAGATTTTCCGGGACCCACCCATGTGTGTGACACTGTTCAGGAAAATGCTTTCGAAGATTTCCTTAGCGGAGACACGTGTAAGGAAAACGTTTGTGCCGCCCAAAGCCGCCAAACCCCAAATCAGGCAGTCACCCCCGTTGAATTGGGAAATCGGCACTGTCCAAAGGTAGACAGTATTCATTGATCTCAATCCGTGAATCGATGCCGTTGCAAGTGTGTTGACGTAGGCTTCTCTGTGGCTACGGACCACCCTTTTGGGGTGTGGTGGCGTTGCTTCGGAGGTGTAGTGGATGCTTATAGGATCTTGTTCGGTTTTCGGCGGTTTAGTGGTGTGTTTTTGGCTATCTCCACTTGCTACGAGAGTTTCGTAGTCATGCGTACCGGGACACGAAAACGGAATGGCGTATTCGGGAATTAGGACGAGAATCGGTGGTTTGAGATTGTTTTGTGATACAAGATCGAGTGCTTGTTGAGCTTTGTGGAGGAATTGGTGGTCTACGAAAATTATCTTGGCTTCGGAATGCTGGAGCAGGATCGAGATCATATTTGGATTGTCGTACGGGTTTAGTGTGCAGATAATCGCTCCGGCCATCGGTACAGCGAAATGGAGTTCTTGCATTGCTGGTATGTTTGGGGCCAGGATTGCTACCTGTTATTGCATCATACACCATCATCATCAATTCATCATAATCATCAAAAAGCCAAATATTCATGATTTTTATTCAAACCTAAAATTCATGTTCATATGAAAAATTCTCCAAGCACAATTTGCAGGGGATTAAAAAAAAACCCCAAAGTAAATCAACAATGCTTAATTCGAAAATACTAGAAGCAATTTTGCAGAATACGAGTATAAGAACCCTAAAATTTTAGCAGAAATCCCCAAAACACACACACATATTATCGGAGAAGAAATGGCGAGAATGGAGAAATTACCACATCGCCGCGAGAAATTCCCAATTTTGACAAGGCGGCGGCGAGATTAGCGCACCTGCCGAGAGTCTGGCCCCAGGTGAATCTCAGTGCGCCGTACACGACGGAGATTCGATCTCCGTGAACCTCTGCAGCTCTCTCCAGAAAGGTTACGGGAGATAAGGGGGCGTGCTTTGCTTCGCGTTTGACGGATTCTTTTACAGAGAACTGACGCTGACACCGGTGATTTAGTGCAGGGTGCACTTTCTTCGCGACATTGGTGAAGGACCAGCCGGTGTTTAATGAGCACCGCCGCCACAAAGAGGCGGCCATGGTGGTGGTGGTGGACTGGAAGTGGTGGAACCCTCGCTGAAAGAGAAGAATTATGTCAGAAATATTAAATTGTGACTTTATTCTTTTAATATTATATAGCTAGTTATTTATTTAGTATTTACAATATCTTTTAATTTAGTATTTTGAATATCTTTTATTATTTTATACAAACTATGGGCAAATTACTGCCGCCACCCATGAGGTATGGTCAAATTACGAAACATCCATCTTGTTTGGTAATTACAGTCACCTCTTAACTATGTATTATCTTACGAAAATAGCCCTCCATAGGTAAATTTAAGGATGTTAAATCGGTAAACCCAACATTTCATATTGTTTACCGAACTGGATATACGATTTGGTTCGGTAAATAACCAATTACATAAATTTTATGTAAAAATATTTAAATGGAGGGGTAACTGTAATTACCCAAACAAGAGGAGTTTTTTTCGTAATTTGGCCATACCTATCTCACAGGGTTGGCCGTAAATTTCCCTACAAACTATTGAGGCATCTATTGATAGTTTATATTTAATCCCACTTTGCACCCTTGAAATATAGTTTGCTGGCACTTTACACCCTTGAAAAAATAATAGCACTTTGCACCCTTAAAACACAATAAATTATGCATAATTCGAAGGTGCAAAAGTGCTATTTTTTTTTTTTTTAAAGTGCCAAAATGCTACATTTGAAGGGTGCAAAGTAGAATTAAGCCTAGTATATTTTAAACTTAAAATCCATAAAACATAAGCAACTTTTGGAGCAGATTCTCAAATTCAACTCACTAAATTCAATCGTACTTCATTTGAATTTTGCCAAGTCGTGATATTTTATTATGTTTAGTTTAGGAGGTTGTGTAATGAAGTAGGGAATCGCACATGCATAGACACATGCATAATTAACGTGGAACTGGATTATGTCTTACGTAGAGTATTCTTCAAGAATAAAGATGCTCATATATAGTTAATGAGCTGTAATAGGTTTATGAATAAGATTAAGATTAAGATTAAGATTAAGATTTAGATTAAGATTAAGATTAAAATTAAAATTAAGATTAAGATTAACCAAAATAAAATTATTTATTTTGATGAGAACTCGCTTTGTGTTAGTATAGTTCGACTAAGGGAGCTAGAACTACTTTTTCTATAATTGCCGATCGACCTGAAAAAGTTATAATTTGATCCAACCAAACATTAAATAATACTTAATTATTTATTTAATCGTAGCTTATATCATACATATAGAGTTATTAGCACAGACTCTCCTGTGTAATCTTTAATTGTCGAAAAAAATCAATGTTAAATTATTTTTTAGCAATAACCCACATATGTAACGTTTTACAAAGCACACATGTTCTTATATTAAAATTGGTTTTTGATTTAAATGAAATGATAAAATTGCCCCTAATAAAATGATTTTTGTATTGTATTAAATATAAAAGAAAATTATTAAACTATTTATTTTGGATCTTACAAAAATCATGGGGTAAATTTATAATTTTCTAAATTTATGTTTTAAAGGTTATTATGGTATTTTCATGTCAAAACAATGTACCCAAGTCGCGAAATCCGCATGTGCAACACACATTCAGCTTATATGATCCTTATTAGCTTTGACTAATTTTTATATGGGAGTTTTTACTAATATTTTTAACACTCATATCTACTCGGAGGGATCAGTTAGCTTAAAATTTAAAACATTATGAAAGCGGAAATATTGGAGCATGAAAAAGCGTGCTACGATCCCTAAAAACGTGGATATAATTAAATAATATTAATTTGTGTGAAATACGACTTTATCGATGGGAAAACACATGCAACTCACTGAGTAAATTGCACGAAATCCATCCTGTATTAGTTTGCAAGAAAGTGGAATATATAATTACTAATATTTGCTTTACTCAAAAAAAAAAAATATAATTACTAATATTTGCTAATTAATTAATTAAACAGTTAAACAAATATGTAAAGTGTCAAAAACACGTTAATTATATCTCTCCTTATAAATAGTAGTCAATCTCAATGGTAATTAATGTAACGGGCCGGTTAATCAGTGTATTTAAGAAGCTAATTAAATTAAATTAAATTAATGCTGCCTCCTACAATGGTGAGTATGTAATGAGTTCCTTTCTTTCATATCTACAAGTGCGCGCGCTCGAGAAGGCGAGAGATGATATATATCTACACATACGCAGAAAAAAAGCACGAACGCGACTGATTATGTATATGTAAAATGGTTATTAATTCCACGTGTTTTAATTTGTGCAGGATCGTCGTGGTACAATCGTAATATTCACGGTAGTATGCATGGCTTCTTGCGCGGTGGGTGCGACGAGTATTTTCAACGTCATGAGTTTTGGTGCAGTTGGTGACGGAAGAACCGATGATTCACAAGTAATATATATAATCCTATATATATATTTTTTACACATTATAAAATAAATATTGTGTATATATATATATATATATATATTTTTATTTTTTATCTTTAATTTTTTTGTGTTAATTGTAAATTATTGCAGGCATTTTTGAGTGCATGGAGGGGAGCATGTGATGGGAGGGCTAGAGGAACAACGCCAGCTGTATATGTACCCCCAAACAAAACCTTCCTTTTGAACCCGTTGACTTTCAACGGTCCATGCCGAACTCGTATGTATTTTCTGGTAATTAATTATATTAATCACTTATTTACTTATTAATTAATTTTCAGATTAATTGATTGATAAAAATGATTAATTAAATAATACAAAATTTTTTTTTTTGGCAGATTTCTGGAACTATTATAGCACCAATTAAAACAAGTTCAGCATGGATGGGAAAACAGAGACACGTGTGGATGTTATTCTCTAATGTCAACGGTCTGATTGTCAAAGGCAAAGGAGTGATCAACGGTCAGGGTTCATCCTGGTGGCCTAAGACCCTTTGCTTTGATGATCCAGCTAATGTAATTACTTATAATTTCATCATTAATTTAATATTCACTCTTAACAAATTCATTTACATTTTTTTTTTATTTTTGGATATTAATTTTTATTAGTTTATAATGTGCAGGGACAATTCTGCAAGGGCCCAACTGTAAGTAATACAAAAATTGATATTTAAATAGCATAAAATATTTTTTCGATAAAAAAAAAAATAAAAAAAATTCCGTGAAATTAATGTAGGGAATGATATTTCGGAGATGTAACGGGCTTCGATTAGATGGATTTACGAAAATTAACGGGCCCGGAAGCCATATGTTGATTATGTCGAGTAATGACGTTGTCGTCTCTAATCTCCGAGTAATCGCACCGGGGGATAGCCCTAATACTGATGGAATTGGCATTTCTGGCTCAACAAAAGTGCAAGTTAGAAATTCTTTCATTGCAACAGGTTATTAATTTTATTTATTTATTTAATCTTACTATTTTCTTTAATTAAACATTAATTAATTAAAATGTGTGGATTTGACTATTTGTATGTATAGGTGATGACTGCATTGCTATTAGTGCGGGCTCTTCTAATGTTGATATTAGTGGAATAACATGCGGGCCGGGCCATGGTATCAGGTTATTTGGCTAATTTTTCTCTTCTTATAAATAAAAGGGTAACAACCACCCTGAGGTATGGTCAAATTACGAAAAAACCCCTCATGTTTGGGTAATCATAATTACCTTCCTCAACTATAAATCTTTTTACAGGTTCATCTTGCAGTTTCAAATTCAGTGAAATCTTCTAGATTATATGGAATATTATCATTTTTGTACTCGTTATATCCCATTCGAGCTCCACATTTTGAAGCAAGATGATCATAAGATGTGTTTTTTGGCTTGTATATATCAGATTATGGTGCATCAAAAACTGCATATTTACACAAAACGTGTACAAATTAGACCACATTTTACGGAATCTAGATGACTATGTTGAATTTGACGCCATAAGGGTGGAGGTGCCAGAAAATTCATAGTTTAAGGGTATATGTAACTATCTAAACAGCAGGGGGGTTTCGTAATTTGACATACCTCAGGAGTGGTTGTAATTTACACTAAATAAAATAACATGCTAATATTTCGAAGTTTATTTCTATGTAAAAAGCATGTATAGATCTACCTTTTTTTTGCAAATTTAATTTCTAAATTAATTAGTTTTTATTTCAGCATCGGATCACTGGGGAGCGGAGGATTCGACGCTGTCGAAAACGTACGTGTTCGTAACTGTACACTGAAGGAAACAATCACTGGAGTAAGGATAAAGACGATACAGGTTAGCACAAAACAAACAGTAATTATTCAAGATAATTGTGTTAATTATTTCCTTAATACTTTGATTAACTTTGCATTATCTGGTCAACATAATTTGAGTTGACTTTTATTTGTTCTTTGAAGGGAGGAAAAGGGTATGCAAGAAATATATCATTTGAAGGAATAAAGTTTGTAGCAGTTGATAATCCAATTCAAATTGAACAATTTTATTGCCCTCTTAAGAAAAACTGCCCAACTGATGTAAGTTTGCTTATGTTCAATTTCAAACATAAATATTAAATTTAATTAAAAGGGATAAATAAATGAATTATTATTAAAACTTATATCTAATATTTATTTATTTATTTATTTTGATGCAGACGTCATCATCTGTTGCAATAAGTGACATATCGTTTATTGCAATAAGTGGTACATCAATTGCAGAAAATGTGATTAATTTGAGTTGCAGCCAAAGTATTGGGTGTAAGAATATTAAATTGGACCGGGTTTATTTAACATCTTCAACACCTGGGAAGAAAGTTTCTGCAAATTGTAATAATGCTCATGGAATTGCAACTCACACTAGGCCTGCTGTTAAATGCCTTCTCCCATAGAACAATTAATTAATTAATTAATTATGTCATTAATTATGTGTTAATTTGAATTTCAAATGTGATGTCTCCTTGTTGATTGTAATTTGTAATCTCGATTATTTAATTCGGGGTACGTTATTGTGACAATTTTAAATTTAGGTGGAATAATTAAATTTGAGGGATCGTTTTTAAGTTATTTTAGTCTTAGTCGTTGTCTCTCAGATATGATGAATTTAATTGTAATAATGAATTGTTTGTAACAAAGTTAAATGGATCTATTGTTGGAAAAATCCAAATTTGTTTTTTTCAATTTATCATAATAACGATTACAATTTAAATAGAAAATAGCAACTACCACTAATTGGAACACTAGTTCACTACCAACAAACCCTAACAACCCATTAAACAAGAGTCCTACAAAGTTGGGTATCTTTGCACTAATTAATATCCTAATAAATAATCGAAATGATAAATACATGACGGCTTTTCTTTTAGTAGATGCAAGTCATTTTTTTAATTTTAATTTGTAATTGTATTCCGCCAATTTATTCTCTTTTACAATCTTCCCTGAGGTATGGTTAAATTACGAAAACCCCCGCTTATTTAGGCAATAATACCTTTTCAACTATAAATATTTTTACACGTTCATCCTTGCGGTTTCAAATTTAGTGGAATCTTCTAGATTATATGTAATGTTATCACTTTTGTACTCGTTTTATCCCATTCGAACTCCACATTTTGAAACAAGATGATCATAAGATGTGTTTTTTTTGGCTTGTATATCAAATTTTGGTGCATCAGAAACTATATTTTTACACAAAACGAGTACAAGCTAGAGCACATTCCACGGAATCTGGATGATTATATTGAATTTGACACCATATGGGTAGAGGTGTAAGAAGATTCATAGTTGAGGGGTAGATGTAATTATCCATACAAGAAGGATTTTTTTCGTAATTTAACCATACCTCAAGGGTGGTTGTAATTTACCCTTAAATTTATTGTTCTAAATAAAATTTCTATATTTTACTCTCATTATATTTAAATCTAACAACATTTAGTGTTGTTGGATTTCTAAATTTAAATTTTCTTTTACAATTAAATTGGGGAATCATCTCATCTTAAAATTTGTCCACAGACAAAGTCTTGAAATTGATAAACTCGTGTTTTGATGATTAATAATGTGATTTTTCTTGCAAAATACCGAAATTGAATAGAAACTGAACCAAATCCAAAATCGAAACCGAAAACGAAACCAAAACCGAACATAGCATATATCATTTAGTGAAAATGATTGATAACCAGAAAAGCTCTTCAAATGCTCCTACCTTATAGGAAAGGTGGAAAATCCATTCAAATTAAAAGAGCAAGCAATATTAAATAAAATTCTAACAATGAAGGCTTAATTAATTGTTTTATACCTTTTTAGTGTGATTATGAAACTATATATGCAAAAAGAAATTCAAATTCCTCAATATCGAAATCGGAGTTTGAGAAATATAATCAGCTAACATTTATTTAATCTTTCTTACTAGGCTGGATTATCATTTATATATTTGGCCATATGGTAAAAAATCCTCGAAATAATTAAGTACGTTGGAAGATTTTGCAATCGCGACGGCAAAAAATGGTACGAAAAAATGACATAGTCAATTACATGCATAAGTTTTTTTTTTTAATAATTTAATTAATATCTTATCTTGACTAATTTTATACTAAAACGCAACCGTAACCAAATTCCTCTAATTTGTATAATGTTTTTTAGATCAAGCTGATTAATGTGTTTTTTGTTTAAAAAATGCAGGGAGTATTGGAATATTTTATGATTTTATTAACAGTTCTGGAATTAAGCAATAGAAACGGGCCCCACGCAACCGCATCCCCACCGTATCAGTACGGGTCGTCGGTGTTTCCATCACCGTCACCGTCACTGTCACTGTTTCTGTCACCGTCACCTTCACCGTCACCACTGCCGCCGCCCCCTCAATGGACATTCGATGTCATGAAGTTCGGTGCTGTCGGAGATGGAAAAACCGATGATTCTACAGTAATTACTATTATCCGATTTACGTAATAATTAATAATTACCAAAATCTACTCACTCCTTCAGTTTGAGATTCTAACTATTAAAAAAAAAAGTAAAAAATATTAATATATAATCTACTCAAATTAATCTCACAATTATAATTATAAATAAATTATAATCTTATTTATTTACCCCCAAAATTACAAAATTAATTTTATAAATCTAATTAACTAATTTTTTCGACCTCTAATTAAACAATTGATCACAGGCTTTTGAATTGACATGGAAAGCAGCTTGCAAGGGTATTTCAGACAATGGTGTTAAAATAAGTGTACCTATTGGCAAAAAATTCTTGGTGTCTCCTATCAAGTTCGAAGGTCCATGTTTATGCCCCAACATTACATTTGAGGTAATTTATTATTAATATATATAATATGGCAATTTACGAACAAATCCCGATTCGAGGTATGTCTAAATTACAGAAATATCCTTTTTGTTAGTAAAATTGTCTACAATTATCCACTTAACGTCGGTACAACAGCGTTTAACATGTTTCTCCAAACAACGCCAACTCTAATAGAATCTTTTAGATTATATAAGAATATTACTACTTCAAATATTCCAATTGTACCCTTACAATTTTACAGGGTGTAATTGTAAGATATTTAATTTATTAGGGGGGTTAATTGTATATATTGTGACAGATACTAGGAAGCATTATTGCACAACCAAAATCAGCATGGAAAAATAAGAGATCAAGTGAATGGATAATGTTTAATAGAGTTGAAAAGCTTAACGTTGTTGGTAATGAAGAAGGATTAATTGATGGCCAAGGAGAGTCTTGGTGGCTAGAGGTATATACCCTCTCGATTTTTCGTTCATCTCGTCACCCGTCTTGAATCTTGTATCTATCGCATGCAATTTATCACTACGTCGCACATCTAATTATTTATCAGCGTTTTGCATGAAATGAATAATAATAACAAGTCCAGTGTACTTCACGCAGTGTATCATGAAATATATATACTTATATTAGTCATGATATAAAACACAAAATACATATATATTACATAAATTAAAACTAAACTAATTAATTTCGTACCTATTAACAAACCCCTTTATTTATTTATTTTCAGGGAGGCAACGCGCGACCGACGGTAAGTCCAGCCATTATATTCATCATCGTACAAATATTAAAAAAAAAAATCATAAATTAATCCCTTGCAATTATATATATGATGATCATGCTTATTTATTAAATAATTTAATTATTTAATAAATTATTACAGGCAATGATATTTTCTAATTGTAAGAATCTAGAAATAAGTGGATTGAAACATATAAACAGCCCAAAGTTTCATATTTCAATAACAGACTGTCACTATGCAAATATTTCAAGCCTCCAAATAATTGCCCCTCCACTGAGCCCAAATACTGATGGAATTGATATTGCCTCTTCATCTAATATTTTTATTCACAACTCTACCATCAAAACAGGTATATATATATACATACATACATATATATATTTATTTATTCATTTATTTTTATTTTGTAAGTATTAATGTTGATAATTTGGATCAAATTAGGGGATGATTGTATAGCAATCAAAGGAGGAACCTCAAATACTACTATATCTGAGATTGTTTGTGGTCCTGGTCATGGTATAAGGTTTGTAATTTTTTCACACACACACACACACACACACACATATATATATATATATATATATATATATATATATATATATATATATATATATATATATATATATATATATATTATACATATTAATTAATTTTGTCACAAATATTGTATACATTTTGTACCAATTTACCACCTCCGGGACCAGTTGAGCTATAACCATGCGGGCAATATTGTATATATTTATTTATTTTTCTCCTCGTTCTTTTTGCAGCATTGGAAGTCTGGGTCAACATGGAAAACATGACGAAGTCGAGGGGATAAAAGTGTTAAATTGCACTTTGAATGGAACTGATAATGGAGTCCGGATCAAAACATGGCAGGTATACAGTAAAACCTAGATAAGTTAATAGCCTCGCTTAAATAATAAATTATTTCGGTCGTAACTCGGTGAACGTGCTAAATTGTTAACTCGATAATCTAAAATTTCATTAAACTAATAGAATTTTCCCTGATCCCAACTGTATAAATTTATATATAGAGGTTTAATTGTAGTTTTAAATTTTAATGAATAAAAAAAATCAATACAATTATTAATTATATATATATATTTTGTAATATTTTTTTTTTTTTTTTTTTGCAGGGAGGTTCTGGTTTTGCCAGGAATATAACTTTCTCAAATATAAACTTTACAGCAGTTGAAAACCCTATAGTCATTGATCAGTTTTATTGTCCTCACAAAATATGCAACAATAAAGTAAGTACAATTTAATTATCTTATAGATATAGATATGTAATAAAAAAAATAATTAAGGTGTTAATTAATTATTAATTATATGTGTAATAATGTTGTTTGTTAATTAATCAGTTATCAGCTGTGAAAGTGAGTAATGTGAGCTTTGTCGGGATTCGGGGAACATCTTACAAATGGAAGGATGCAACCGTCAGCATCCGGTGCAGCGACACCGTTCCCTGCACCGACATTCTGATTGACAATGTGCACATAACCTCGACGGTGCCACGTCAGCCAGTGTCTGCAGTGTGCATCAACGCTCGTGGTTCAGTTAATGATACGTCCAGCCCAATCGTCAATTGTCTCAAGTACTGAAATATACGGGCCCCACATTTTCCGTTTTCCGACTTTCTAAGATCTTATTAGAACTGACGAACTTCACTAAATAATTTGTCACACACATACATGTGGGTGTGTGTAAAATAATTTTTTTTTTCGTGTTTTTAAGTTTCATTTATGTTTCGTATATAGTTCAATAATTTGCTCGTGCCGGTGAGCATTTTGAATTTAATTTTTCAGTTCCGGTAGTAAACGGAGTGCTGTTGTTGGTGAAATGTTACACATATTTTTAATAAAAAGATGAAAGGTATGTCTATTTTTTTTTATTTAATAAGATGATGAATTATGTTATTCGAGTAAATATATCGATCTAAGTGAGACAATACGAACAAGGAGGAATTAAAAGGGTCCCGGCATTCGATCTAGTGCAGTGCACCATTTCTAAAGATATTTAAATCGAACAACCTAAGTAAATAAATACTTAAGAGTTAATTTCAAATACGATCCCCGATATTTAATTGGCAGATATCTCCGTAAAAGAAATTACCTATGGCCCCCCTGTGTAAACAAAGTCAAGGCATCGAGACCCCTGGAGGCAAATCGTGCCTCTTAATTTACCTTATTTTTTCCTCGAGTGATACTATATTTTTGAATTAATTTACCTTATTTTTTACGACCTCGAGTCATTATGCATCACACTCTTCTTACTCCATTAAAATCAGACCACATTTGCCGACACATGAGACATGATCAATATCTTTTTTTTAAGGGTAAATTACAAACACCCCCTGAGGTATGGTCAAATTACAAAAACACCCCTCTTGTTTGGATAATTACAACCACCCCCTCAACTCATCAAATTTAGTGGAATCTTCGAGATTATATGGAATATTATCACTTTTGTACCCGTTTTATCCCATTCAAACACTACATTATGAAGCAAGATGATCATAATATGTGATTTTTAGCTTGTATATATCAGTTTGTGGTGCATCGGAAACTATATTTTTTACACAAAAAGAGTACAAACTAGAGCACATTTCACGAAATCTAGATGACTATGTTGAATTTGGCACCATAAAGGTGGAGGTCTAAGAAAAAATCATAGTTGAGGGGGGTAGATGTAATTATCCAAACAAGAGGGGGGGTTTTGTAATTTGACCATACCTCAGGGGGGTGTTTGTAATTTACCCTTTTTTTAATTGACAAAAGAAATTGCAGCAACTCGTAATGCACTAGGTAAACTATGTAATCGTGCAATAACTCGTCGAATCGCAAGAGAGACGTAAGTCACACCGAAGTTCAAGCATGAGTTGTTCGATCTAAAAAATGTTGGCAAAAGAGTTCGAACTCGAATCAAATGACACCGCAGTCTCTTGCTCCCTCTGCGAATCAATGATGATTGATCCCATGCACATTGGAACAAGACCAAGAATAGTAATTTCTTAAATCGGTTTTCTCCCTTTTTTTTCCTCTTTGGGAGTCTTAATTGGTGGATTAGGTGGGATAATTACATTATTTGAAGTTTAAAAAGAAAAAAATCAAAGTAAAAGAATAATAACTACTGCTGCTTAAAATTGCAGATATGATTTCATAATTAGTATATTCCGGGCAATAAGAAGTAATTGATTCATGATAACACAAGGTGACAAAATCCATGTAAAATGGAACTGACAACCTATTTAATTATGCATTATAATCTAGTCTTTAATTTTGAGATCAGAAATTCAGATTACCTAGCAACTAAGTGGCTAATTTAAATTAAGAATTTTGGTTATGATATTGCCAAAATCCTATGACATATTTTCCTATAAATTTGGTGTCGTACTAAGTTATTTTGTAAGAAGAGTTGTTCGTTGCAAACCCAATAAAACAATATGGTATGAAAAAACAAGTGCCAATTTTTTTAATTAATTAATTTATTTTTATCTTCATATCAATAGTCTGGTTTGTTAGTGATTAAATTGTTTATTGCAATGTTGGTGATCTTCACAATTGATTTTACAGACTCTTCTCAAAGTTTTTAAATTTATTATTAAACTTGACATTTTTTTTTATCTTTTTACACAATTTCCTGTCAAATAATAGACTAGTCTTAAATATTATTAATTTGATTCAATTTGCTTATTCTTTATGCAATTCCCATATGGCAGGAAAATTTTGCTCCTATGTTGATTTTGTGGCTGACTTATCTGGGAATAAGCATGGTTATCGGCGTAGCCCAACTAACCGCCGCACATACGCCGACTTCTACACCGTGCCACCCCTCTACCGCCACTCATCCGCCTACTAATACACCGCAGCATCCTCCTATCGCCACACATCCACCTACACATACACCCCACCACCATCCTATCGTCACACATCCGCCTACTCATGCACCGCACCATCGCCCTATCGTCACACATCCGCCTACTCATACACCGCACCACCGCCCTATCGTCACACATCCTCCTACTCATGCACCCCACCACCCTCCTATCGTCACACATCCGCCTACTCATGCACCGCACCACCCCCCTATCGCCACACATCCACCTACTCATGCACCGCACCACCCCCCTAACCCCGCCAATCCGCCTACTCATGCACCATGCGCCCCTTCGAAGATCGCATGCTACGATGTCACACATTTTGGAGCCGTCGGAGATGGGAAAACAAATGATACCAAAGTAATTTCTAATTACCATTACTTTTCTTTTATCTTTAAATGCTAGTGTATAACATTTATTCAAATACTAATAACTTTTATTCAAATATAAGAATGAATTTGAGTTAAATTGTGATTGTATTTTCTAACCAAATAACTGCTTGCCAAAAAAAAAACATTAATAGGCTTTTCAGGCGGCATGGAAGGCAGCTTGCAATGGAACGGAGAGCGAAGTGAAGATAACGGTACCCTTTGGCAAGTCGTTTTTGGTGTTTCCCGTCGTTTTTAATGGCCCATGCAAATGCCACACCATCACCTTCGAGGTAATTATTATACTGATATAGTCGAGGTAATTATTATACTGATATAGTCGAACAAATCAGATTGAAATGACCATTTTAGAATTTCAGAAATCGGCATGATTCGAAAATTCCATTCCCTCTCAAAATGGCTACTCTTTCTCCATCATTTAATTAACAGAAAGTTGTAATAAAAAAAAAATGAAAACAGATACTAGGAAAGATTATTGCACCTCCGAGGTCAGGATGGTCGAAGAAAGGCACAGATGAATGGCTCTACTTTCATCGTGTGGACAACCTTCTCGTGTCCGGTGACGGAAAAGGATTACTCGATGGTAAAGGAGAAACATGGTGGCAACATGTAAGTTTTATCGTTTCCCCAATTTCATTCTTATTTAACTAAAATTCAATAAATAAATAAAATTACTAATATTTCTTGACAAACTCTGTACTCTTTACTTTCTACCAGGGCAGCAGTTCCCGACCCACTGTAAGTAATTCATTTACCGTCTTCCGTTTTCTCTTAACACAACTCACAAATTGAACTCCTAAAACTCAATTCTAATCATTTTTATTTTTTATTTTTTTTGTTGGAAGGCGTTGCGATTTTCTCACTGCAGCAAACTTAATGTGAGAGGACTGAAACATATAAACAGCGGAAAAAACCATGTTTCGCTAAACCATTGCGATGACGTAAACGTTTCAAACCTTACAATGATCGCACCTCAGTTTAGTCCCAACACAGATGGTATTGACATTAGCGCTTCGACCAATCTTCACATTCACAACTGTACTATGGAAACTGGTACACTTTTGTAATTTCCCTTTCTACCCCTCCCCCCCCCCCCACCACTTTCTTCTACTTAATTACCGTGCAGCTTATGTATTTTCTGCTGTGATTGTTATATCGTAAAAAGGGGATGACTGTATTGCTATTAATGGGGGCACTTCAAATGTCTCCATATCCAACATAAGATGTGGTCCTGGACATGGAATAAGGTATCTTTTCTCTTACCATTTTGGTGTTTTTTTCTTACATAAAATCCAATCATCATTAAAATCGGGTGATCAAAGAATTCCTTTTTTTTTTTTAATGTTTCAACTTCTTTTTGCAGCATTGGAAGTTTAGGGAAAAAGGGAAAGCACGAGATAGTAGAAGCAATAAGCGTAAGAAATTGCACTTTTAACAGAACTGAGAATGGAGTCAGGATCAAGACATGGCAGGTAATAATAACAATAATATATTAAAAAAAAAGTCGTTTTTTCGTGAGTATATATAGGCTAACCTTTTGCTGCTTTCTGTAGGGAGGTTCTGGATTTGCCAGGAATATCACCTTCGCAAATATACGCTTCATAGACGCTGATAACCCTGTCATCATTGACCAGTATTATTGCCCTCACAAGAAATGCGCTAACAAAGTAAGCAGCTATATATATTTCAAGATTTTACAATAAAAAAAAAATTAAATAAATAAAAAATTATCTACTTAATCTCGTGTGTGCCTTGCATCAGACATCAGCAGTACAAGTTACTGACGTGACATACATGGGACTTCACGGGACATCCAGCTGCAAGAACGCTACAATTAACTTCAGTTGCAGTGAGACTTTTCCTTGCACTAATATCGTACTAAAAGATGTTGACATAGAATCGGACGATCCAAGTCGTCCAACATCCGCCACCTGTATCAATGCTCATGCAAGAGTTGATCGTACATTGAAGCCAACTCTTAACTGCCTTATGCTTAAAAAAAAAGGGGGCAAATTTATCCCTGCTAGGCTCAATTTCATGAAAAATTTGTTTTCATAGGTGTATCCGTACATTTTCAGATATACATGCACTGAAGAAACGGAAGTTGTTAGAATCATAAAGCAGCAATTTGAATTTATTTTTTCAACATCTATTTCTCCGTTCTGAAGTAATGAAGTTCAATTATTGTGCTGGCTCCAAGTATAATGTGCAATAAGTTATATATAAAAACAACTAAGTGAGAAGACGAGTACACAAAAGTGAAGAAGAATTACCACTGTATAATTTATTCTATACATAAATAGTTCTACTTACAGAACAGAAACAACTTGTTCGTCTTCTTCTTCTTCTTCATAAGAATACAGAACAAGAATATCCTATATTTCACAAGAATCTGAGCGGCCAAACATATTGTATCTGTTATCTGCAATATTCTCATACACAACATCCCGTACAAATCTGCAAAATGTAAAAAGAAGAATGAACCAACACGAGATAGATCGTGTAATAATCGCACTTAATATACAACTTTTGAAGATTTTTAAAATAGCAAACTAATTTCGACTTACAACGGTACAAATTGCAGAAAGAATGCCAGCTGAGGAAAAGGTAAATTTATGTACTCCATAATTTTCAGTACAGCTTCTGACTTGATATAAGACCTGAATCAAATTCCAATAATTAACCTCAAAAAACACCAAAACTCGAGAATGCGGTTATTTTCATGTCGTAAAAATAATCTCCCAATTTTTGTTAATTATGTACCAAACATGAAAATCGACATAGATAATATTTATATACCCGTCTTTTTCAACGACAACAACACTTGAAATATCATCGGGTGCTCTTCCGGATCTTTGCAGCAGTTTCATGCCTGCTTCACTTTGTAGAGCTTCGAATCTAATATTCCTGGAAAATACCGGAATGCTAAATCAGAGAGAAAATGATGAAGAGATTATCACAAATAAAATCCTAATAACACAAAATCAACAGATTTTATATCATTTCATATTACAAATAGAAGGTGTGGTAACGAAATCCGACCTTTGTCGATCATTGTCTCGTACAAACTTCACGCCTCCATTACATAAATTGCAAACACCTGACACATAAAAAAAATAAAAAAAAAATAATATGAAAGGAATCTACACAATTTCAGCTCTTAATTACCACCACCATTCTGGTTTTTTTCTTTTTTTGTTGATCTGCTGCAAACTATCTCCATAGAAAAATGAATTGCCCCAATTCATCACAGTAAAAATAAAACTTACAAATTCTCCCAGCGATAATCGACAAAAATCGTTTGTGCAGAGACAATTTCGATAACTGTGAACAATCGAGACCTAACCTTAACTGAAATTTCACATTCTAATTGTTCGATTAAGAAATTTTAAATATGAACAGTACCGTCGAATAACATGATGGGTCGCGAATCCTGATCGAAGAAGCTCGCAGTTTCCTTCACCCAGTCCACCGCAACTGTATTTCCCCGCGGCGGCGATGATAAAGTGGCGGAAACATTGAACGTGCGGCGGCGACGGCTAACGTGCGCCGGAAGTGGAACGGTGATATGCAGCTTGGCCGGTGCGACGAAAGCCATTGGGAGTAAAAGGAACCACCGAAAAAATGTCGATAAAAACAGCCACGTGGAGTCACTTGTAACTCTAATTCTGAAAATCTATCAAATAATAAAGAAATTAATAAATACAAAAATCAAATTGTAGCCACAAAATTGGAAAATTATTGCAATCTATATATATATATATAAAAAAGTAAAATACGGCCACCCCTGAGTTATGGTCAAATTATGAAAAGACCCTTCTTGTTTTTACAGTCATTTTCTTTTAAATATTTTTACATAAAACTTATGTAATTCGGTTATTTAACGAACTGATGAATAGATCACCTTAGATAGTTGAGATCGAGGGAGCTGGAAGAGCAGAGTTAATCACTGGCTCATGAGCTTGATGACCTTGAGATACCTGCGATCATAGAACACGTGAACTAGGCCGGGGTTGATCCGGCGAAAACCCCTCCGACGCTCAAGTCAGACGTGCGGATAGTAGAAATAATTGAGAGAATATGACTCCTAGTATTATTTTGATAATAGGGCCCCCTTTAACAAATGAATTATATCGTTATTTATACCTTAGATGAGATCGTTGGGCTCAAACCTTATTTGAAGGTGATTGGGCCTTGGTGATATTGGTCTTCAATATTGGGTTTGTGGCTCATTAGGTAAATAAATTGTAAGTCCATTGGGTTGGCCCAAACGGTATGAAATGTTGGCGTACCGAAATTTCGATTCAGGGATTTTCGTAATTTAACCATAACTCAGGAAATGCGTTAATTTGCCCGATAATATATTGACCTAATAATTTTATTTTATTTTGTGAGGACTTAATCATGCCACTAGAGTGAAGGTTGTCAGACCATCTATCTGAGTAATACGTACTCATCTGCATGCGAAGATACTTGTAATTAACAATGAAGAAAACTGCAAAGAAAATGAGGTTTTGAGCCCCCGTCAATGGCGAGAAATCTTTATGTTTGCCGTAAAATGATTTTAAGTTTTCTTATGATATATTGTCTCGATTCGAATTGATTTGTCTGCCGATAATGTGGAAAGAATTGATTTCTACGATTTAGTTCTAAAAAAAAAATCAAAATCTATCTATATAATATATAAAAGTTGAATTCCACACCTAATTGATCGACATTTGTCAATTTCAATCGATGACATGTATTCAACTTCATCTCATATGTCAAAATTGATTGGTGAAAATAAATCATCAAAAAACATGTCACCATTTTTCAAAATTAAAAAGATACTTAATTATTTTATTATATATTTATAGGGTAATTGACACTTTGCACCCTTAAATTACATGATATTGGCACTTTGCACCCTTAAATTAAAAAAAATGGCAGAATGCACCCTTCAATTACATTTTGATTGGCACTTAACACCCTAATTCATTTTTTAGCTAGAAAAGTAACCTGCTACCTGTTGAAAATGGATGGATTTTTCTTTCTTTATTTCTCACACACTTAAATATATATATCATCTTCTTTATTTCACATACCCAAACCCGACCATGAACAACTAATGTTCATTGTTCTCTATCAATAGTTTGAGCATACTTTACTCTAATTTTTAATAAATTTATATTTTATTTATTCTAGAATAAATACGAATTCAATTAAAAGCAAGCATTAAAAAACAATGCTGTTAATATGTTATATGCAAATAAAGGTCATGCAATCTGCAATTCGACAAATTTTCACCACTCCGGTAGTATTTTCAACAGATAATAAAACTTATTTTTTCTTGCTCATATGGGTTTAAAAGGAGAATTGTGTATATATTACGGTTATTTGTGTAAAAAAATTGTTTACTTTTATTGTTTTCGTTACATAAATTGGTTAAAACATCAAATGTCTTGAGGGTTTTAGTAAAATCCAAGAAACGCATGTAAAGATCACGAAAAAGATTTTGAGCTAGACAAGAAACCACGCAATATGGTGTGAATGTGTGTGAAAATATTTGCTAATTCATGCAAAGCGAATTCCCCTTTCCTGCAATTACGAGCATATCTTTTGCGTTTAGTAGACATCTTGGTTCTATTTTGCATTCACAATTTTTTTTTCCTAAAATTAAGAGAAACATCAAAATGACAAATGAAATAATCAAAACACATTCTAATTTTTTTTTTTTTGAAGAGATATATTATTAGGCGATATTCGCCAAAATCATTGGAAGGATATCACCTTCAATACAATCATGGCCAAATAGTTTAGCAATAGCATGGGCCATATGGTTACCCGAACGCTTAACAAAAGTAAATCGACATAAACTAAAATAACTTGCAAGGGATAAACAATCCTCTATGTAAGCCCCAAATGAAGACGTGGAATTTCTTTTGTCCCGCAGCACCGTCATCACCTGGAGATTATCACCTTCGATCACAACATTCTCCCATCCCATTGCCCTAGCTTTAGATATTGCTCGTAAGACCGCATGAGCCTCACCGTTAACAGCACAGGGACGCCCGTTAATCTTAAAAGCTCCCCACCATAGACATTGCCCTCTTGCATCACGAGCTACGCACCCTATAGAATAGTAGTTCACTCCTTTCGGAAAAGCCGCATCAACATTAATTTTCACCACACCTTGCTCAGGCGGTTGCCAATGTGACGGATGCGAAAAGGGACGACCTAAGACGGGATTATGTTGGCCCTGCTTATAATTCCCCAAGAAAGATTTACACCAACTTATTACCTCTCCATTTAGCATACCCTCTTCACCATGAGATTCACGATTCCACAACTCCCATAATTTCCACATAATAACAACTGCTAGACAAAAATCATCAAGACCCAGCTTCTGGTGGAGATAATCTACCCACTGCCAATTGGTCATTAATACATCCATAGAGAGGCAACAAAATGGATGGACCTGCCAAATGGCTTTTGTACCACTACATGAGAATATAATGTGGAGAAAAGACTCAGATTCTGCACCACACTTGCGGCAACTAGGGTCCACCTCGATTTTTCTTCGGAAAAGCTCCAACTTGGTGGGGAGGATATTGGAGCACACTCTCCAAAGAAAAATCTGAACTTTCGGAGGGACGTTAAGCTTCCAAATCATTTTCCAGTTAAATTTGATAACTCCACTATCCTAAAAAAATCAGTTTTTATATTTAATATTATGGTGTAGATATTTAACTAAAAAAACAAGAGAAAATCTATAAATAAATGTTCTAATGTTTGGTTTATCTCCTTGTACAAAGAGATGGTTGAATTAGTTGGATTGATGTACTTGTCTAAGAAACCATTAAAAAAAGAAAGTTTGTGAGACACAAGAGAAAAAAAAAATTGCTGCCCCTTTTCAAATTTCACTTAATAAGTAGCAGGTCACTTTTCTAGCCAAAATGAATTAGGGTGCAAAGTGTCAAGCAAAATATAATTGAAGGGTGCATTTTGCCATTTCTTTAATTTAAGGGTGCAAAGTGCCAATGACATGTAATTTAAGGGTGCAAAGTGCCAATTACCCTATATTTATATCATACCATTTATAAAATCCTCTTAAATATATCATTTTTTTGAAAACTCTAAATAGATTTATTTTTTAATTTAATTTTAATAGTAATTAATTTTATTTAAATTTAGTTAAATTCAATTTAAATCTTTCTTTATTATAATTGCAGTGGTGTTACGGAAATTTTGCATTTTAATTCATAAACATGAATTTATATAAAAAAAATATTGCAGAATAAATCGTTTGATATTATATATTTTACAAGAACATGACCAGACAATATGTTTATCTTTTTTACTAATTTAATAATATATATTAATATTATATGTATAAAAGAAATATACATGTTCGAATTTACTATATTGTGAAAATTGACATTATTTCTTTTTCTGCCATGCGTACATTAATATATATCCTCAATTATTTACCATATTGAAAAGTACATACTACATGAATTACTAAAATTCACCTGATGTTTGTTCCCGTAGTACATCGACCCCCTTGCGGTAAGATTTTTCACGGAATTTCTTTTATTACGTAGAATATTCCCCGAAAAATGCAGATTTTACCATGCATACGCGGCATTTCTTTATGGTGATTTTTAAAGACAAAAATTACCCTCAAGGGGACTTTACACATAATATGTATTCCTTTTAAATAACACTTTCACAACTTTTTAGTATTACTATTACCTCCACTGAGGTAATTTTTGTATTTAAAAAGTAGGATAAATTAAAAGAAATGTCACGTCTGCAAGAGTAGAATCCACAATGAAAAAGATGTTCGTAATTTAATCTATTAACAACGATTATTGTTCTTTTTACGTCTTAATATTTGCTTATACCCTTATAATATTTTAAATAATTTTAATGTTAGTTTGATAATACAATTATATATTAGTTTCTAATATATTTAATATATATTTTTGGATACTTCAACTACTATATAGAAGGAATTTGATATATAAAGGTTGCGAGATTGAATAGAATTATTTTTGATACAAAATAATAGATCATAGCAAAAAACATTGATGTGAAATAAGAATTAGGATTGTGATTAATATTAGCGTTAGAATTAGGATTATAATTAATATTCTTTGAATTAGTATTAGTATTAATACTAGGATTAGGATTCGGATTATAATTAGGATTAATATAGTATTAGAATTAATATTAGGATTAGGATTATGATTATTATCAATATTAGTATTAGAATTATAATTAAGATCATGATTATGATTAGTACTACAATTAGTGACATGTAATGGTATTAAGATTATGATTTGCATTATTAGGATTATAATTAGAATTAAGATTAGAATTATAATTATAATTAAAATTAATATTGGCATTAGCATTAGCATTATTAGTATTAATATTATTAGGGTTACGATTAGAATTATGATTAGTGCTAGGAATAGGATTATGATTGTCATTATGATTAGTTTTATGAATATGAATAGGAATAGGATAAGGATTTGGATAATATTAGAATTACAATTATAATTAGCATTAGCGTTATGATTAGTATTAACATTAGCACTAACATTAGTATAAAAATTAGTATTAGCATTAGTACATGTACATTAGCATTAACATTAACAATATTAAC